GGCTGTTCTTTCGGCAATCTAACCCCGTTTAGGTCGGCGGAGTATCTTTCAACGTGGTCTTAATGCTTGCCTTACCACCATTAGCAATTTTCCACATATAATACAATGCGCTTCATGATCATTTTTGCCATTTTGTATATGCATAACCTAAGGATAATTATGGTAGGCTGTCTGAAGTGAAGCCATTCTAAAAGACTGAAAATAAGGACTGAAAAAAGTGCTTCCCTGCATGCTTCCTAGAAGAGGGTTCCCTATTTACAATTTACGCGAATGTACTTAAGTATATCTTTATATTATTTAACATTATAAATAGGATTCAATAAGCATTTCAAGTCTCAATTAGAAATATTTGATCTGAACCTTAAATATTTAAATTCCTTAAAGAAGTATGATTTTTATGAACTAAAAACAGCATCAAAAGGCCTCTTATACAAAAAAAAAATTCAAAACCAATAACTTACTTATTAAAAATGTTTTTATTTTGGCTTAAAATTATTGTAACCAATAGAAGTATGTTGTACAAAAACACATAAACAGAAGTTCACAAAAGTTCATATACAACTTTTCGTCGATTTAAATAGTTAACTTTTTACTGCGAATGTTCATTTTACGAAGAGGAAGCATCGAAAGAATAACCCCGTCAGTGTGAGACTTTAACCCAAACTAAACTTCCTAGCATCATTTACCGTTCCCCTCTCGGTACCACCGTCGAGGATTTCGTCGGGATTATAACACTGTGTGACTGCTAAAGTTATAGATCTATTTTCTTCTTCGATGTTCGCCGAGTTCAACAAAGCACGCCAGTCGTTTCTTTTCTGTGCCAATTGTAAATGCCAAGTGAAGCCGAGTCCTTCTTCACCTATCGCAGTGGGGGCCGAGGGAGGCCTCTACTACAACCAGGGGGTTCGAGCTGATACTTTCAGAGCTGGAGTGCCGGTGTCCATTCGAACGACATGGCCAAGCCAGCGGAGCCGATGTGTTTTCATTCGCTGCACTATGTCCATGTCGTTGTAAAGCTCATACAGCTCATCATTCCACCGTCTGCGGTACTCGCCGTCGCCAACGCGTAAAGGCCCGTAAATCTTCCGCAAAATCTTTCTCTCGAACACTCCAAGAGCCGCCTCATCGAACAAGCATTTCCTAGTACTATTTTTGAATATCTAGGAAAAAATTTGGAAGTTATGGGGGGCTAAAAATTATATGGGTGTCTTCATTCACCTTCATTAAAAAACCAGGACAATTTAAGTGTGGACCAGGACACCAGGACAATTTGTTTAAATCAGGACAAATCATGGAAAACCAGGACGTCTGGCAGCCCTATTCTAGGTACTTTGTTTTATACCTGTTACTTTGCATTTTATTAGAATCGTACGATTTGTCCCCTACCAACGTGTTATCTTCACCAAATGACACATGTAAATATATTTAAGAAAATAGATACATATTTTATTTTGAGACTTTGGTAAAGTTAAAAATTGTTAGATAGCCTTAAGAGAAAGAAGTACATTGAAGATAAAGTTCAAAAGGTAGATACAGGCTTTTTAATTAAACCTAATAATTTCTTTTATAAACATGTATATGTTGCAATGCTATTTATCGGTAAGAACAAATGTGTGCTTGAGACAAAATGCAGTAATAAAGTTATCTTGTTACCCTACAATTACATAATTAATACTATAAAATGTGTTATAATTCTTATACTGAGTATGTTTGGCACAAATTGTTAATACTCTTTCCACCAGCAACTTGAAACAACGGTATACTCCTCGCAGGACCCGTATATTCGTCATTTTTGCTGGGAAGCATGCTCCTGCTATGAATTGATGGCAATGGTTTGCCCCAAAACTTTAAATTTTTTAAGGTGTTGTAATACGCTATCCTGAAAAAAATTAATAATTTAGTTGGAAATTGTAAAGCTATCAACAATTTATAATAGATATGGGGCTTCCTTTTTTAAATCGGATGGATTTCGTAAAACACATCACGTCATATTTTCAATTGGCTTCTAAATTTTTTACGGGTTCTATACATGAAAGAGCCTAACACGTATTCGAGGAAGTATTCATTTTCCTTCTATCAAAGTTTGATATTTTCGTGATTCTGACCCATCATCTACTTCTTCAAATACGTCTGTCAAGTTAGCACAACACTTTTCTAAATTGGAAAAGTTAACTATGGCATTCATTGCAGCTTTCTTGCTGTAGAAAGAAAAAATTTGTACCTCTCATTATTTTTAAATATGGTATGAGTGCTAACTTGACACCATACACCTAGTCGATAAAATTGAGATATTGAAATGTTATAACGGCATTAATTGTAGATTTTTTGTTGTAAATTTGTTGTGGAAAGAAAAAATTTTTTGCTTTCGTTTTTTAGGAAAAAATGGTATGTAGTGCTAACTTGACACCATACACCTAGTCGATAGAATTGAGATATCCAATATGTTACTAAGCCATTAATTGTAGCTTTTGACTTAAAAATTTGTTGTGAAAAGAAAAAATTTTTAGCTTCCGTTTTTCTAGAAAAAATCGAGTTTACCGTTTTTCGAACAAAATTTAGTATGTAGTGCTAACTTGACACCATGCACCATTGACGGCAGAATTGAGATATTTAAAAGGTTATAACGGAATTAATTGTAGCTTTTTTGTTGTAAACTTTTACAATATGTTACTACTATGCCATTAATTATAGCTTTTTTGTTGTAAATTTGTTGTGGAAAGAAAAAATTGTAGCTTTCGTTTAAAAAAAAAAAAGGTATGTAGTCAGGGATGCCAACGCATTTTATCTTTCTCCCCGTTGGCCATCGCGAAATTCCCCGATTTTCGGTGAAATTCCCCGCACTGGTATAATTCTATTAAATTAACTCAAAGATTTTAATTCAATTGTACATACAATATTTAAATGTGAAATTTTTCAATAAGTTAGGTAAGAGTGGCTGCCCCTCACAGAGCGCGGAGCACACGTGGGCTGGAAAAGCCCGTTGTGATACCACTGGCCGAAGCCATTTGTTCCTTTTCCTCTCTTAGTAATTGAACCACCGAGGTTGTTTTATATAGGACGTTCGCCGAGTTCAAAATTTTGTAACTTTTTACTCGAAATTTTTAGAAGCCATTTTAATTTAATTAAAAAATTAATAATAACTTGCACGTTTGAAATTTCTAAAAGTTACCGTTGATTTTTGATATTTTTTTTGCTGGGGCCCTTGAATTCAATTGCCTGAATTTATTAACGAATGTACATACAATGTTTAAGTGTTAAATTTGTTCACTAATTTCTCATAAAAATTTTTCAAGTGGATGGTAAATATTTTGTTTCGTCAGTGGCAACCCTGCACACGAGCCCACACATAGTGCCTTGCTAAGGGAGCCGATTTTGTCAAGAGGGAGCGAAAAACATTTTTCTGAGCAAACCTTTTATTATTGAATCATGGATCTGTTTTTCTTTTAGTAATCTTTGTACATATATGTCAATTGTCTGATTTCGGTCAGAAATATACCAGTCTCATACTAGTTCAAAATAGACAGAAAAATGCTAGTCCAGTTATGGACCAAAACCACTACTTTGGTAGTCAAAAAATAAAATGAATTCATGAATATACAATACAAAACTTTTGATTTAGTGCACTTTAATGCATTACATATTTTTATTTAGCAGCCTTAGATTTGCCCATAATTAGTGTTAAATTTTTTGAGTATTGATTAAAAGGATAAATAAATACATAAATATTACAAAGTTTCGAACGTAAATTTAAATGCATTTTCCATTAAATGATACTAAAAGTAACAGCTTTCAAGTACAATAAATACTATATTTTATCTTTTTTAATAATATTGAATACGGAAAAGAAGACACTTTAGTTAAAAATAAAACGAATACTCTAATTCATTTTTGAGTGAACTAAAATAAAAATAAAAGTTTTCATTAAAATAAATTAAATTCATTAACTTTCCTTTCTTTTTGAAATATTTTAAAAGTAATAATTAATGTTTAAAATTTGAAATTTGGATAATAACAAAAAAAAATTAATAATTCAACCAGTTATTAAATATTCCTAATTTTCGTCTATACTTTGGCTTGTTGATTGCTAATTGAAATTAATCAAATATTTATATTAGTCGTGTAATTAAAAAAGTAAAAAATAATTGAAAATCATCAAAAGTAACAAAATAATGATGTAATTAAAATTAACGAACTAATTAAAAAAAAATTCGTTTGAGTAATTAATTATTAATCATTAAAAAGGTGCTAATATCGGTATTTCATCATTAAACGGTTATCTAAAGAAACATGCTTTAATTAATAATCATTGTGAATATTAATCATTATTTCACAGGTACGGTATAATTGCGAGAACGTACTCGCTTTAACGGTTTACAATATACCCAAATAAAAGTTACAATATTCTGTGTACTCTATTGTATTAAACTGTCGAAGTCAAATTAAACCGGGCATGAATAAATCGTTTTGTACTTGATAAAAGTCTTGTAATTTTCGAACTAGTTCGGTTTCAGTCAGGAAATTCTAGTTGTAAACTAGTATTTTTATTAACTAGTTTGTTGTTTCACTGCAGGGTATGTACATATGTACCGTTCGTTCGATTTTAGAAAATGAGGTATCAAATTAAAGGGCTTGGCCTGTGGATGTGCATTAACTTCTTATTTTTTCAAAAATAAAAATATTAAATTCAAATTATTTTTAAGTTAAATCAATTATGACACTATGAGTATCGATCGAAATGGTTTTGAAAAGGCTTTATTTTTTAATCATATGTAGGCGGGTTGCCACCGGTTTCAAAAAGCAAGTTCGACTTAAGTAAAGGCAAAAAATGTAAATGTATATCCTGATATGGATGTTTGAATATTTAGAATATTAAAGGGGGTTGCCACCTGTTTAAAAAGGTAAACTCAAATTATTTAATAAGTTAAAGAAATTATTAAAAATAAGGGTATCAAAGGGAGTTGGAGCAAGCGAGTCCGTATCCGTGCTTATTTTTATCGTTTCTTTGATTTTAAAATGCCCTGTGCTTGTGGTCAGAAAGTTCACCGCGGTTTGCCAAAAGTTCGGTGTGAGAAATGTAATGAATATTTTTATTTATCATGTGTCAATTTATCGCAAACTGATGTTGATTTTCTGCAAAAAACCAATCGTGCGTTTTATTGTGCAATGTGTACCAAAAAACGTCGAAATTCTATTTGCTCGCCCCCTACATCTCACCCAACAACACAGCTACTAGCGAGTGCTGATGACTCTCGCGCTACTGGTGCTGAACAAAAACAGCAGTCGCAGTGTGAGAATTCAACTAGTGAACTTCAATTACAAAAACAACAAAAAATCGATCACACGAAGTGTACAGAATTGGAATCAATGTTAGAAACTGTGCTTTCTGAAGTGGCTGGGCTTAGAGCCGAAAATGCACGAGTGTTCTCTCTGCTGCAACTCTGTCCGATGATAAAAGCATATTGCTCAAGAAAGTTGATGACCTCCGAGCTGAGCTTCGTACTATGCAGAGCACGTTACTCAACAACACTGCTCCAACTATGGATGCTGCTGCTGCGGGTGCGCAAACATCTGAGGTTACCCATACACCTGCTGCTGCTGGCATTTCTGCCGACGATGATATCTCCGCGGCTGACCCTTCTGCCGTCACTCTTGTTAATGCTGCTGCTAAGATTGCCGTTTTGCCGCCGACCGCTGACATGACCACTTCTCCTTCTGGTTTAGTGTCGTCTCAGTTGACTGCTCCCCTGCTACCTTCATTCGCTAAATCTCTCATCGATATTTCCGATGTAAATTCTAATAATGTGATAATATAATTTCGCCTCAACGCACTTCTGAGTGGATTTCCGCGGACAGAAGACAAAGTAACATTATAAATTACGTCGCTAAACATGCTGCGATTGATAAAAATCTGTTGGCTTGCTATAAATTGGTGAAGAAGGATGTGCAGTCAGCAACATTAAAATGGGTAAACTTTAAGCTTGGCGTCCCTGTGTCAGTTTTTGACAAGATTCTAAATTCGGACCTTTCGCTTTTTTCCCGCGAATTCAGATGCCCGCTGATGCCGTAACTGAATCCAGCGCTAGTAATAAATGCCTAAGAATTTACTTTCAAAATATTTCAGGCCTTCGGACTAAATGTTCGACTGTGTACTTACGTAGTTCTTCCCTAGAGTTTGATATTTTTGTTTTTGTGGAATCTTGGCTGAATGATAAATTTTTCGATTGTGAAATTTTTGATACTAATCTTTATGATGTAAAGACCGTGACTGTGTCAAAACCGGATGTTCCAGAGGTGGCGGTGTTCTCATTACCCTGTAGGGAAACGAACTAGTGCGGAACTGGTTCGGTTCTAGTGCGTTTGGAACCATGACTAGTACGCGTTAATTCTCTTTTGCATGCTAGCGACTGGCGAATTTAACATTGCGATGTCCTAGGAAGTGTCCGTGTTCCGAACCAGTTCTAAATTCGACAGATATGATCTAGTTCGTTTTGGATCGCCTTTTCTATAGTTCCGAACCAGTTCCAAATTCGACAGATGATATCTAGTTCGATCTGCATCCATTTTTTATAGTTCCCGACCTGTTATAAATTCGTCACCTTAGATCTACATTTCTAATCATGCTTGTCGAAACATTTCCCTTTTATGTTAAATACGATCGGTTGAAGGAAGGACAATACCATCACAAATGTTTAAACGCACTTATTAAAAATTTATAAACCACATTAGTAGTAGTAGTAGTATTAAACTTAAGTAGTATGTAAAAAACAAAAGTGCGTTCTGCTTAAAAGTAAAAATATTAGTTCACTTTGTCTTAGTCGTCTAAATTTAAGCATATTGATTTTTAAGTAAATTCAGTTCCTTTTAAGCTCATATGTATAT